TACCAACACAATGGTGACCGCAAATAACACAATCATTTGCATACATGCTTGAACAGTGATGATCAACACTTAACAATCACTTCACAATACACGTTTATTTGCTCACTGTGTTTTGGTTAGAGATGCATTTATTCAGTGCTAACTCGACAATGAAAATTCTTCTCTAGGAACACAATGTGTGTCTACTGATGTGTGAAATGTCCTGTAGTCATCATATCGTAACTATGATCAGTATTATTACATGGTTTACAATTCCATTTGGTTTTCCATAGAGACATAAATACCGATAACTAATAATCTTTGGAAGGTTTAGAAAGACTGGTGAATTTTCGCTGCCTTATCAATATAAAATATTAAATGTGGATTATTCCAAATAGCGTATAAACGTGATGATAACAAATTCACAAGTCATCGAACATGAGTCAAAACTTTTCACGTCAACGAAAATATGATTGTGTAGATGTACTGAGCAACACAGTGAATGACACAATGACTTACCGAAGTAAGTAGACCATATGAATGGTAACTCGTCAGAAATCACAGGTAACATGTTGGGCAGGATACTTCTTTCGGGACGGTTCTCTCCGTTCGAAAGCACATTTTTAAGCAACAACTATCGGAAATGAGATATGTACTTGTAAACAAATGTTCACCGTTATACATATATTTCAGATATTTGGCAAGTACTTACATGGAGTCAATTTATGCAAGGAATGTATTTCCATGTTGGGATGAGCCGGAATTTAAAGCAAATTTCAAGGTATGATATATTTGACCTTTATTTCATTTTCATAATTTTCCGTATGATTTGTGATCTGTTGTGAATCGGAGTCAGTTTAATAAAATGCAAAATTATTGAACCAAGTGATGCTTCGTGATTTAAATGTTGTGTGTGTGATATGCGAACACGTGATCGATGATAGTGATGAGCTTAGCATATGTCAGTCATGTTACGAAACACATTATTGGTTAAATTGATTAAATCGGTTCATGACCTCGTTTTACCAACACACTTCAAAATTTGATGATGTATATCATATTGTTTAAAGGCAACTGGTTATCTGTTAAAAGGCACATATACTAAAACCGATGTACAATGTTCTTATGAGAATTTACTGGAATTAATCTAGTCGAATACAAACAGCGACAATTTGAAATAACGTATTCTCTTCCTGAACGTTAGCGTATATAATGACAGCAATAGATTTCTTGCACTAAATCAATGTACAGAATTGAGTTACAATACTCCCTACCATCTACATGTTACCACAAAGCTCTCCATAAACCATGATTAGGTAATCAGTGTTGATAAGTCTTAAATGGGAGCATATTTTTATTTGTTTCATTACTTATGTGTGACGAAAACTTCAGGTGAACATCAGGCATTCGCAGATGGCACTCAAGATCATATGAACATATAGCCTATTCAGTATGCAACATGTTTCAGTCAGACAACAAGTCCACGATTGTCTAATGATTAATCCTTCACGTCAGTTAGAAAATTAGTTACACATGAGTTAAGGATTTCCATGTGGTTATGTGATATATTGCTAAATAAGCACGATAAGAATCTTGAATTGTTTCAATTGGTTAGACATGCCACTTATTATTCGAGAACAAATTTCTCACGTTTGTGTCTTTCAGGTCAATATTGTACGCGACAAAAATTTTCATTCGCTTTCAAACATGAATTTGGAAAGTACGGAAGTGTTGTACGATGATTGGCGTGTCGACAGGTATGACACCAGTGTGAAAATGTCCACATATCTGTTGGCATTTGTAGTTTCGCAGTTTTCGAATATTCAGAGGACAGACAATAGAGGACGAAACGTGAGTGTTATCAATTACACAAAAGTTTTTGTAACTCTCCATGAAATACTTTTGTAATGTATCGAAATCACGTATATCCAGGAAGAACCACCATGAGATTGCATGCAACCGATTATTCGAGACGGTTAGGGATATACATAGATCCACGTTACATACATACCAGTACTCAATGTGAAGCAGTAGCAGTTCCTCGGTGTTTCAATGTTATGTGAGCACGCTTACAACGCCACGGTGATGACAGAAACTAAAACAGAACACCTGAATAGAGGATGTTCCATACAAGTATTCAAAAGCACAAGCACTGTTTGATAGTACAAGCCATTGTTTTAACAATGCTGAGTTCTCTGTGTTTCAATCAAATCAAAGTGGTTGAATTACTCGTGACACTGAAAACAGTCTCTTCTATCAGATTGTAGCAATAATGACTTGAAGTTCATTAAAGTTTTTCATAAGAATGATTCATTTCTGGATAAAATAATTCTTTCATTTAGTTCACTGTTTGGGCAAGACCGGATAAAATTCGATCAGCTGAATATGCACTTGATATTGGCATAAAATTATTGGGATACTTTGAAGACTATTTTGGCATTCCCTATTCACTTCCTAAAATGGGTAGGTATTTCACACAAATGTGTTTACGTTTAATATATGTGTAATTAAATACTGTACAATGTAAACTATGCAACCAAACAATAAGGTCTAAATAACTGAAAGGGATGCATGATCAACCAAATCCAATTTTAGTTTAATTACGCTAATTATATTTTGAACTGGAGTGGACTGAATCATAATAAATATATTCAATAAATAAATAATACATTTGTAATATTCCAATGGGTAGAAACATTAAATTTTCTGATATATCGTGACTCAATGTAAGTCACTTCTTCAGAGAACAAATAACCACATCCAAAACGAAAGTATTCAGCCATTTAACTGGGGTAAATATTTGCATACATATTGATGTGCATAAGTATTCCTTTTTATTAGGCATGCACAACAGTGTATGTACGTATATATGTATTTATATAGGTATATTTGTATGTACGTATGTATGTGATTAGAACCGTTTACATTTGCAATATATCTTCCATCATGTTTTCAGATATGATTGCGATTCCTAACTCTTCAATAACGGCAATGGAAAACTGGGGTTTGATCACTTATGATGAAAATAAAATGATATGGGACGCAGAAAACGGTTCAATAAATACCCTAATTGATGTGACGTTTTCTGTCTCACATAAAATTGCTCATCAGGTATGCTTTTAAACGAAGAACGAAATGTTAAACTCACTTTATATCTCTTTAATTTAAAGATCGTTCGGATAATAAACTTACACTACTTGGAAAACGAACGAAAACTGATACATTGTGGTTTTCGACTGCAGCAATGACAACACACAGGATATCTGAGATTTCTGGCTAGCTAGTTTTGTTTACTGCATTAAGTTGGACTGTAATAATACAGGTTTCTAAATCTATTCATTTGTTGTTCATTGTTGATAGATGTGTTAAGTAAAATAATTATTCTAATAATTCAAGCGATTTCTTAAATGTTTGTTGCTCATTCATCACCTCATATGTCATTATTACCCAAATTCGGTTTACTGACAAGCCGAGTCACTATTTTCGCTATTTTACATGTGGTTATATTGTAAATATAACACAATTACTGCTCCTATGTAATCATTTCTCACAAGTTGTAGTTGAACTCCATGAGTTACTCATTTTCACTACACCATTCAGAATTCCTTTGCAACTAGGATTCAGGAACGGAATATAAGATGTCATCAAAATCTACAAGAATCATTTTTAACAATATAAGTTTATGACCTCATGTAAATATCGAAATCGATTGAGCAATCCAAATATGCTATGTTTATCAGTTTTCAACTTAAACACTTTTCTTTCAGTGGTTAGGAAACTTGGTGACAATGAAATGGTGGGATAACTTGTGGTTGAACGAAGGCTTCGCAACATTTTTCGAATACATCGGAGTACAGTTACTACATCCTGAGTGGAAAGTAGTAAGTTGAGTGTTTTCTTTGAGGATATTATCAGTTCGCTGTTTCATTTTGCACATGTCACTTGTCATTTCAGAAATTGTTTTCATATAACCTGTACATGCTGCATAGAAGCGGGTATTTATAGACGAAGTTTTGCATTGCTCAACACCACATACACAGAATGTTTAGCAAATTACATATATTCTTAAAATTTAAGATTTACTAGAACTCTATTTCGTTCAACCAAAATGGTGATTTGACTTTAATTCAATTAGTGGGCATTGTTTGAATTCACTCTGTAATAAGAAGGAAGAATTTAATCAGTTTTCAGATGGCGCTTGGAGAATTCACAAATACTGAGATAACTAATGACCCTTTACTAAATAATAGCGAATGTTTGAACAAATCTAGTACACATTATGATTATGTTCTGTATAGTATTCTTATCAATAAAGACGATTTTTTTCTTCGATGAATAGGATGAACTATTCATACTGGATGAATTAATGCTTGCACTTGATGTTGATACTTTGATGTTATCAAGACCAGTCATTTATCCAGCTAATACTGCAATACGAATTATAACCATGTTTGATTTAATCACCTATGATAAGGTCAGTTGTGTATTGGCTGTTGATTTTCATCAAATATTGTATTTAAATTTTTCATTCTATTTTAATGATCTTCAAAGAAATCATGATATCAAGCAGAAGAATGATATTTCTCTCAACGAGTAACTTTAAGTGTTAAATGTGTTCCAATGTTCTAATACAATGGCATTTGAATAATGATATGTTTTTCGTCATGTCAACCTTAATAAAAGCACTGTTAGTAGACTGAGGCAACAGATCGGATTTTCATAGCTGAATTCAAGGGTCGATCTGAGCTCGACCACCATCAAAAACCTGAAAGAACTACTGAGGATTTCTATAGTAGGACCAACCGACCATCCAGTGCTCACATGTATTCAGTAGTGATTTAACTTAAGTCGACTCATGAGTTCAACTGTAAAAATACTACAATCTTCTCAAATTTCCACACTGCTGAATTCAGATATCAATCTAAACACGATTACCATGACTACTACTACAATTGTTCATTTCAAGATAAACGTAACCTTCGAATTTCACACTATAAATCCGTATAGCATCCCAATGTATATTTATGTCAATAACGTGCTTGAATAAACTGAACTGAATTCGGTGAACAAGTGAAACAATAAACGAACTCAAACAGATGGTGATATATTAACTGTGGAAAATATCATCAGCTATCCCGCCTGTAGCTCTTCTAGAGTTACTGCCCTTCCCAAGCCCGGGTAAAGTAGGAGGGTTGGGCATGAGGTGAGCGTCCCTATCCCGTGGAAATCTAACTCGCTAAAAAAACGCTTACCAGAAAAAATTATTCAAACCATTTCAACTCTGCCCTGGGAGTTAGGTCTTCATTTAGAAGAATTATGACGCTTCATGGTGAAAGCCGAGTTCCTTCGAAAGCCACGAGGCCGATGCCACTTCTAAAAACCAGAGCAAAAATGTTTGTGGGGGAACGGGAAGACCAGTGAAATAGCAACGGAAATGAGGAGATACAAATTGGCAGTACTGGGAATCAGCAAAACCCACTGGACCCAAGCTGGACAGAAAGAGCTAGCTACGGGAGCGATGCTACTATACTCCGGTCACGAAGAGCAAAATGCTCCACACACTCAGGAAGTCGCTCTAATGCCGTCCAAAGTAGCACGAAATGCACTTGTAGGATGGGAATCTCACGGATCCAGAATCATCAAAGCATCGTTCAAAACAAAGAAGGAGGGGATCACGATGAATATTATCCAATGTTATGCACCCACCAATGATAGCAACGACGACATTAAAGATCAATTCTATGAGCGGCTGCAGTCAATCATAGAGAAGCGCCCAAGAAAGGATCTCACCATTCTGATGGGAGATCTAACTGTCAAAGTTGGAATAGACAACACCGGATATGAAGATATCATGGGACGACATGGACTGGGTGAGAGAAACGAAAATGGAGAAAGATTTGCAAATCTATGTTCATTCAACAAATTGGTCATAGGTGGCACAATATGTCCACACAATTGTATACACAAGGCTAAATGGATCTCTTCGGACCACACTACAGAGAGCCAGATTGATCATATTTGCATCAAAAAGAATTCCGAAGGACAATGGAAGATGTGAGAACTAGGAGAGGAGCCGATATAGCTTCAGATCACCACACCACCTAGTTGTAGCCAATTTAAAACTGAAGCTAAAAATGAACTGGACAACTGGACAAACAGCACTACAAAGGTTCAATACAGCCTTCCTTCGAGATACTGACAAACTCAATGAATTCAATATAGCTCTCAACAACAGGTTCCAAGCCTTACAGAATCTACTGAAGGAAGAAGAAACTACTATAAAGGAAAGCTGGAAAGGCATCAATGAAGCATTAACTTCAACGTGTCAAGAGGTTCTGGGCCTAAAGAAACACCATCATAAGGAGTGGATCTCTATAGAAACTCTGGACAAGATCCAAGAAAGGAAGAACAAGAAGGTAGCAATTAACAACAACCGAACACGAGCAGAGAAAGTCCAATCACAAGCTGAATACATAGAAACAAACAAACAAGTGAAGTTGAGCATTAGAGCCGACAAGAAGAACTAGCAACGACGGCAGAAAAAGCTGCAAGGGAAGGAAATATGAAACAGCTTCACGATACAACGAAGAAACTAGCAGGGAAATACAGTAAACCAGAGAGACCGGTCAAAGACAAAGAAGGCAAGCCAATCGCTGAAATTCAACAACAGCGGAACAGATGGGTAGAATACTTCGAGGAACTCCTGAATAGGCCGGCTCCAATGAATCCACCGGACATCGAAGCAACACACACAGATCTTCCTATAGATGTCAACCCACCAACGACTGAAGAAATTACAATGGCCATCAGACAAATCAAGAACGGGAAAGCAGCAAGACCGGACAACATACCAGCTGAAGCACTGAAGTCAGACATCGAAGTAACTACAAACATGCTTTACCTTCTATTCAAAAAGATTTGGCAGAGGAACAAGTGCAGATGGACTGGAAAGAATGGCACCTCGTCAACATTCCAAAGAAAGGAGACCTGAGCAAATGTGAAAACTACAGAGGCATTACACTACTGTCAATACCAGGGAAAGTCTTCAACAGAGTGTTGCTGAACCGGATGAAAGATGCAGTAGACGCCCAACTTCGAAATAAAAAAGCTGGATTCCGTAAGGATCGATCGTGCACAGACCAGATTGCAACACTACGGATCATCGTCGAACAATCAGTTGAGTGGAACACGTCACTATACATCAACTTCATTGATAATGAAAAGGCATTTGACAGTGTGGATGGGAGAACGTTATGGAAACTTCTTCGACACTACGGAGTTCCTGAGAAGATTGTCAATATTATCCGGAACTCATACGACGGACTACAGTGCAAGGTCGTGCATGGAGGACAGCTGACAGATGCATTCCAAGTAAGGACCGGAGTCAGACAAGGCTGTCTACTCTCCCCCTTCCTCTTTCTTCTGGTGATCGACTGGATTATGAAGAGTCAGTCAGTCAGCTACAATGTAGGACCAGGCACATTTATGCATCGGTCCAAGTTTCCATACTTCATTAACACAACAAGATGGACACCGGATTCGACTATGAGGACCTCGAAATCTGAGGGAAAACACGGCATACAATGGACAGCTCAGAATCAATTAGACGATTTGGACTTCGCAGATGACCTGGCCCTCCTATCGCATACATATGAACAAATGCAGATAAAGACAGCCAGTTTAGCAGCAGTCTCTGCATCAGTAGGCCTCAGCATACACAAGGGGAAAACAAAGGTCCTCAAATTCAAAGCGGAGAACAGCGATCCAATCACTCTTGATGGCGAAACTCTGGAAGATGTAGAATCCTTCACATAACTGGGAAGCATAATCGGTGAACAAGGAGGATCAGATGCAGATGTAAAGGCAAGGATTGGCAAAGCAAGGGTCGCATTCCTACAATTGAAGAACATATGGAACTAAAAACGACTTTTAACCAATATGAAAGTGAGAATCTTCAATACGAACGTCAAGGCAGTTCTACTGTACGGAGCTGAAACTTGGAGAACTTCAACCACCACCATCAAGAAGGTACAAGTATTTATAAATAGCTGTCTTCGCAAGATACTCAAATATCCATTGGCTGGATATCATCAGCAACAGCCTTCTGTGGGAGAGAACAAACAGCTTCCATCTGAAGAGGAAATTAGGAAAAGACGCTGGAAATGGATAGGACATACATTACGCAAATCATCAAACTGCATCACGAGGCAAGCCCTAACTTGGGATCCTGAAGGTAAGCGCAAAAGAGGAAGGTCAAAGAACACATTACGTTGGGAAATTGAAGCAGACATGAAAAGTATGAATAATGACTGGAAGGAGCTGGAAAGGATTGCCCAGGACAGGGTGGGATGGAGAATGCTGGTGAGCAGCCTGTGCTCCTTCACGAGGAGTAACAGGCGTAAGTAAGTAAGTAAGTCATAAGTAATGCTGTGGAAGTGATTGATGTATCCGAATATTTGAGTACACTCTTAACATTCGAAATCATGAAGTTCATTATTCTTTCATATTTGCAATTAACAGAATTATGTATGTTTTAAGAAAGTTACACAACAAAATTTCAGTGATGTTTAAACTTGAACTTTATATCTAGGTTAAGACTACGAAAACCAGTATTTTATTTACACGATAGAAAACAGTCACCACCTGAATGATTGCATAACATTTGTTAGACCAAGTAAATGAAATGACTTCTAATTCAGTATTATGAAACAATCTACACGTGATTATAATTCTCCAACGTTCTTACGTGAATCAACCAAACCATAGTACACGTAATTTTCCACTTTGTGTGAATCCATTATAATGCGAAAGTATTCAGTGTTCAACCATGTGACATATTCTATTCGAAAACAATAATATTCTTAGGTGTATCTTGACTTTGTTGCATCCTATCTTCGACTGGACAAAAGTTAACTGGCTGATCAATCTAACTTACCTACACATTCATTGCGTGTTTTATATATATGTTAATATTCTACATTGCATTCGATAATTCACAGGGCGCCTCCTTGGTTTGGATGATGGAGAAATTCATGGGCCGTAGTGCGTTTCAAAACGGTTTAAAAGTACGTTGACAGTGATTATTTTGTTGTAACTGAGTATCATAGAATCTAGTCTCACCGATCACATTCAATGATGAACTGATTTCTTTTCGTTGACTAAGTATTTTCAAAGTTCTCTTCGAGACTTTCCAATACGCAGAGTCCTCATATCATTTGCTTAGCTATAACTCAGTATGACGTAACTTAACAGAACCCAGTAATGATTGATCACTACAGTCATCAACACAAGTATTCCTTGAAACGCTATAACAAGTTTTTATCAACAGACACTCTACTTAATAAAAAAACTTGAACTCGTATGTCGTCATGAACAAATGGAAAATGCTTTTAAAATTAAATGTTGTCTGTCCAACTCATAAACCATATTCATTGTAGCTAAATCAGTGAAATATTTTATATCATCGGTGTAAATGTCGTTACAAACAAATTATGCTAAACAGACTTCACTCACCATTATATCTGATAGATCGTTGGTTGAGATTGTATCCCACCTAATTATGTACAGTATATCTGTCACCATTGGTCGTCACTTGCACTAAGGTGAGTGATTATTTCTGAATATAAAATCGGTTTGGAAAATACAAAATTTATTTTGGAGTACCTTTATCGTGATCATTTCAAACGTTTGGTGTTCATAATGATAAGAGAGATCAGTGTATGTGACATTTTGAAGGACACTAGTTGAACGATCATCCATTAAATCGTCGTGTTTATTCTCTATTCATATATACTCACCGGATTGCTGCTTAATATTTTATTCATAAATATATATATATATATATATATATATATATATATATATATATATATATATATATATATATATATATATATATATATATATATATATAGCTTAATCATAATTTTACTGAAAAGTGTCCATTGGCTGAACTTCTCGTTTTTAATGGTCTAACAGCCATGTGAAAGGGACATTAGTATACTACAACAAAACCGAATCAGTGATAAAGAACACCGACAATAACTGATTTGTGGATTTTAGATGGTAAAGTTCGGTTATTTCTATGGCGTTCAACAACCTCACTTCAACATGAATCTTATTTTGATTGTGGGTGGTATTCTGGAAGAATGCAGAGACACAACACTGAGCTGTAATGTGTTCTGTCTAAGCTTAAATCCTATGATTAAATTCATGATAACTTGCAAATTGAAATCCGGAAATGCCTTATATAATACGTTTTTCTGTGTTTGTTTAAGAGATACTTAATTCAAAACCAATATAAGAACACAGATGAAAAGGATTTATGGAAGGCATTATCTGAAGTAAGCATTTGGTGATTATTACATTAATACAAAAACATTTGGTGTAGTGCATTTTGTTGTTGAGTTCTTTGCATAATTTCTCCTGATCGTCACGCATTTTGTTATTACTGAACAGAATAGTCGCCTTGAAATATATTTCAAAAGTTTCAGTTTCAGTTTGGGAAGGACAGGAGGCCTGATGGCCTGTGTTAGTCCTGGCAATGGTGGTCTTTCAGTTGATCGAACTTTCTTTTGAAAGAATCGACGGATGGAGCCTCAACCACGTGCTGAGGTAATGAGTTCCACTCGTTGATGATTCGATGTCAAAGTCGACAGTCAGCTGACAAGTAATTTGTTCTTGGCTTGTGAACGTTTTTGGAGTGTCCTCGTAAATTCTCTGTTTTGGAAGACAAGAAAAATGAGGGCATATTAGGTGCAAATTTGGCACTAAGCAGTTTGAAAACTGTAATCAAGTCGCCTCCAGTTCTGCGATATGACAACGGGAAAAGGTCTAGTTTGGCCAGTCGATCTTCATACGGAAGCTTCGCTATTCCGGGAATCAGCTTGGTTGCCGTTCTCTGAACCTTTTCCAGAAGCTCACTGTCTTTTTTTAAGCAGGGGCTAGCCGCTTGTATGCAGTACTCAAGTTTAGGACGAACGAACACTGTATACAAAGTCAAAAACGTCTTAGCGTCGACATGACTAAAAGCTCTACGTATTGACCATAATGTTCTAAAACTTTTGGCGGCTATTGCACGGCAGTGTGCAGTAGTCTTTAAGTCTTGACTAATGATAACTCCTAAGTCATTATATGTCTGGACGACAGACAGCTCAGTGTTATTCATCGTGTATGTATCTGTACCTTGATGACCGATATGCATCACAACATACTTG